ATGCACACCTCTGGTCAGGTGGACCTTAACTCACGGGTTGATCAGCTCACACAAAGGGTCGACGATCAGAACAACCTGATTGGCCAGCTACTCAAGCAGATCAACTTGAACCAAGGCCCTAATCTTGGACCCCGTGATGAGGAGAGGAGGACGCACGAGCATGTCAGCGAGAAGTTCGAGAGGTCCCAAGCCGGTCAGGCAAACGGGCAGGGGAGAGAACGAGATCGTGCTGGCGAGACACAAACATCTGCAAGTCGTACTCTGAGCCGGTTGACGATCCGTTCGAGGTTAGGTCCAAGGACCAATGTACGTGAAAGGCTGGGCCCATAGTCCAATGTCCATGCCCGCTTGGGCCCACAGTCCAATGTCCACGCCTGCTTGGGCCCACAAGGAAGTAACCAATCCAGGCTGGGCTCACAAGGAGCTCGAGTTCGTGAACAATCGCGTGACAAGCGCAACAATCGACGCTCACCAGCCCGCTCGAGGACCAACACACGGCAACAAGCCGTAGAAGACTCCTCACAAGCTCAATCTCCTAATCTGCCCCACGGGCAGAACAACCAAGAGGATCGACCCTTGGGAACCGAGGAGGAAGTTAACCAGCGGCGCTCGAGACACCGAAGACATCGACTCGAACCACCAGCCCTGCGGGCAGAAGAGCCGACTCCAAAGTCTCCAACTTCAAGGAAGCACGTATGAGGCCCTGCACAAGGAAATTGATCGAGTCGACTGCTCACCCTTTACAGATGAGGTGGAATGAGCTGCACCGCCGAAGCGGTTCACAACCCCATCCATCACTCTGTTCAAGGGAGACTCCGACCCTGAGAGCCATTTGAGGCACTTTAAGAGTGCCATGATCTTGTACAAGGCTGACGACGCCCTAATGTGCAAAGTGTTCGCGATGACTCTACGAGGAGCAGCTCAAGACTGGTTCCACACTCTACCGCCCGCGTTGATAGGCAACTTCAAGGAGTTTGCCCTCATCTTCACAAAGGAGTACACCTCCTATAGGACGGTCAGAAAGCATGCAGACCACCTATTCAACCTGCACAAGAAACCAGTTGAGTCTCTTCGAGACTACCTCAGACGGTTCAAGGCTGAGAAGGCGAACATCATAGGATGCAATGACCAAGTTGCATCCTCAGCTTTTAAGAAAGGCTTGCCAACCGAACATGAGCTATACCGTGAGCTGGCCATAACTCCAAGCCAAACCTTGGCAGAGGTCTTCGCGACGGCAGAGCGCTATGCACTTTGGGACGATGACCGTATTGCGGCGAAGAAGGCCAGCAAGCAAGCTGATCACCCGACAAGGCAGGCGAGCCAAAAGAGCAACAAGTTCGAGCCCAAAGCCAGAGATAGGCGCAGATCGCGACCCCAAGAGG